AGATAGGCAATACATTCAAGTATTTATTTATAAGGATCTTCAAAAACAGTTCAGCAGTAGCAGTTTCACCATAAAAAAAAATAATCACATAAACTATTCAAAATCGATAAATATTTTGAAATTTCTGATTGGGCTGAAAAATAACTAAAACAAATTATCATTTCCAGAACGGATATTCAAAAAATGAAAACAATTGAAGTTATTTGAAATTCTACATAGTGTCCATAAAAGCTCAAATACGGATATTTCAAGCGAAGCTGACATGTGGAATTGGTACAGTTGCAATGCTGCATGAAATATTTTAAGATCATAGATCGCATTCATTGGGGGCAGCTAGCAAATTTCATGTCGATCTGTCATTTCATTAACGAACTATCGAACTAGGGCTTAGATTAGGTAAAAGAAATATCTTTCCTTGTCTAAGAACTAGGGTTACACTGTATAATAATACCAACATAACAGTTTGGTGAACATTTTTTTGAAAATATCATATTGTGATACATTTTAGATTCAATGATAACGTATTGTGATAGAGTTGCGTGAATTTTTTATAAATGCAGGATGCTAAGCCGAGGAGAATAATTTAAAAATTCATTTCTATCATTTTTTGTTCACAAAAAACGTATTCTGCCCACGTATTACAACAAATTGCTTCTATAAAAGTTATTGGTGAATATTTATAGTTAGGAACGTCATTCAACATTAAATAGAAACGAATCTTAAGAATATCTATTAATAATGATGACTCATACATCTAGCTCTTGAACTTCTGCAGGCATGCCAGACGTTTATTCAACCAGTTCTTCAAATTTGTCTGAATAATAGCTCTTGAATTATTGATGAAATAACAAACATCCGATGTAAGCAGAAGCACGGAGATGTGAAATAAAAAAGCTGTCAGCATTCGAAACGAAAGACAAGAAATTTCCATTACAAAGAAGTGTTTGGTCTTGAGTGGTAGTGTAAAAATAGACATGCCTGTTATCCTAACTCTTGATAAATTGGGTCTAAAAGGATGACATCGAGTGTTGCCATCTCAATATAGTTGTTTTGTTGGTTGATGTTGAAAACCTACAACGTACGATCGTAAAGTGCTTAACATTGAAGTCATTGAAAAATGGACGCATACCTACTTAAATTTTAACCTTAGACAAGCCTTTTGTACTTGAAGTTTTACAAAATGCAGTACAATGAAGAAAGTGACAGAAATACACGAAAAGATCAAATGATAATGGTGTGTTTTACTGTCGGTGTGTAATAGGAGTAGAAAGGCCATTTTTTCGAGAAAAATATATAGTTCAGATCGATCAGTAATTGGTATACAGATAGGGATTGCAACCCGCAGCTCATCCAATCCCGTGGGATTGATTCGCGGGATTGATCAATCTCGCGCAGGATACCACATCTTTGAAATTAGGCATGTCATAAAATTGAACTAAAATTAAACATGTCTTACATTATGCAACATAAATTATTTGTAATCTAACAAAACAATAATTGAATCATAATTGAGTACAAGTACAGAAAACGGCCCAAGCGAAGCTCTCAGGCTTACAGAGACAAGCTTGTCTGGCCATCTGTGGTGCCATCAATACCACACCATCAGCGGCCATTGAAAACCTTCTAGATCTACCTACTCTCCACATTTTTCTGGATAGGCTAGATGGACTGCATAAAGCCTTTTGCATATTGCCAATTGCACAAATCAATTCAATTCAGAATGCAACATACTGTTGGTTGACATTGGAAGTCACAGCACTTTATGCCTCCAACTGTTAACTACGAACTGCTTTATAAAGTACTATTTCCGAGTAGAGAGGACTGGATCCTCCGGGAGAAGGAAATATTAAGAGCAGATAGTTGTTAGTTCAGATGGATCAAAAACACCTTCCGGTTCTGGTGCAGGTGTTTTCAGTCACAGACCCAGGACCGAGATATCAACCTGTCTAGGAACCTATGCGACTGTATTTCAAGCGGAAATGTACGCTATAAAATTGGGTGCGGAGAGATTGGAAGAATCCAACCTCATACACAAGTCAATAAAAATATTCTCGGGCAGTCAAGCGTACTTCTGGCAGAATCTTCCATGATATGCTCACTCCAAGGCGTTCATTTACCCTTCGAAGCTTGATACTAAACAGTTGTTGGACTACAGTAGGGATGAACTACGATGTCTAACAGACTTTCTTACAGGTCACTGTCATTTGAATCATCATATGCGGAGACTCGGACTGTCGAAAGACAGTGTGTGTCGTCTCTGTTTGGAAAATGATGAAACAGCAGAGCACATACTATATGGCTGCCCCGCTGGAGTCTGAATCAGGTTTTTAGAGTTCAGCAGAGCCTCAGTCTTACCATCTGACCTGAAAGACCACTCACCCTACGAACTAATCGGTTTCGTTAAGAAGCTGGGTTTATTCGGTCGAGTGTGAATAGGTGTGGGCCACAATAAACCCTTGCGTTGCGGTGGAGGGTCGAATAGACCCACTCACTTTGGACCCAACCTAACTTTTGAAAATTAGCTCTTAAGAAGCAAATGACATTCATAGTTTCATCTTCAAACCTACTCCTGAGTGAACAGCAGATATATCCAGATGCCAAAAATGCTCTCTCGGCTTCTGGACATATTCATACGCGAGCATGTGGTACTCTACTCTAATACCATTGGACTCACAGAACGCCATTTGTTTCTTCAAAATGTTTTCATAATCTGAATTGAAGGGGTTATATTTTTAGGAGGAAAAAATTTTTGGGAAAGAAAGTTTTTGGCTTTCTACTACTCCATCTTGATACAAAAAAAAGAGATGAGGGAATCTTCCAAAGAAAGGAAGGAAGTAATCAATTTGAAAATAAGTAACTCTATACATGGATGTGTAGATCATGCAAAGAAGTAACTTTCAGACACAAACTGAAAGAAAGTCCTCCTGAAAGAGCTACTTTCATATAAACATTGAATTACACGAAAGAAAAAAATTCTTTCGAAACAAATACATGAACACTGAATTATACAGAAGATACTTTTCTCTACTCAGTTTGTATTTCAAACATTCGTTGTGGAATAAAAATAAGATATCATTCACATGAGTTCTACTTTGAATCAATGGTAATAAATTGCACTCACATGGAACACTGTTACCCTCACTGGTATACACCGATGTTTCGCCTCAAGAGACTTGTCCCAAGGCTCTTCAGTACCAAATTGGATAACATTATAGAAAATACACACAAATCATTCATGAATTACGATTTTTTAATGTCGCGGAATAAGCTTGATCTGCTTATGTCATCGATGACATCGTAATGACATTCATTCACCTATTTGATTTAATCCTTCTGCTTGTTGTCTGTCTTCTTTTCGAATATTTCTTTTTCTTATTAAAGCTGCATCAGTTGCAGATGTTCCAGCTATAGGTGTATTTTCTCAGATGTCATGTGCATACATTTCATCGTCTTGAACTAATAACTATTTGTATTATTTTCCTCATTTCTTGGCGTATTGCAGCTTTTCTGGCATTAAGAATGTATGAGTTAGATCAGTATTTCGGAATTCTTGATCGATCTTCTTCGGATTTCGCAAATAAATAAAACCTGTCTACTTGCGGCGGCGGCAATGATATCATCAATTTTGAACCACTCATTATCGCTGAATTTAATCTCAGATTCAATGAATATTACTGGAGTTTCATCCCAACACCAAACAGTTATTTTCCACACCTCGACACGTGTTTCAATCACCAAGTGAAGATGATCACTTGGTGATTGAAACACGTGTCGAGTTTTTAAAAATAACGGTTTGGTGATCACCAAGTGATCATCTTCACTTGGTGATTGAAACACGTGTCGAGGTGTGGAAAATAACGGTTTGGTTTTGGGATAAAAGTCCTGTAATATTATTTAATACACCAAAGGTTCCAAACAGTGCATCACAAGCTCAGATTCAATATCGATCAATGCTTTATCGATACAATTCTTCAATTTGTAGAACCGTTCTAACAAATTTTAAAGGCTATTCCAGCGAGTACGTCAGTCTAATTTCAATGCCAATTATTTTTTAGGGCTTTCTTGTCCTTCACATATTTTTTAACCTGTTTTTTTTTTTGAATGATGACCTTTTAAAAATCTTGACCACTTCTCGTACTTTCTTCAATAGATCGTCCTATGTAAAAATCAATTCAAGTCTCGCTTTCTTCATTCCCGTCCATACCATCATCATCGTTGTCATCATTATTAGATTCCATCGTGATTCCTGCTGCTGGGTATTGGTGAATTGCTTTTCTTATACAGTGTATCAACCACCACTAGCTGTAAGCCGTGTGTAAAATAAAGCTGCTGGAAAAACCCCAAAAGCCTTTCGACCTTCACCATCACACAAGTCTCCTTCGTTGGTATTTGCGATAATATATCTGTGTTTAGACTCCCAGACCGTAACTCGCGAGGCGTTTTTTTACTAGACTAATGCAGTAGCCGAGTGATGTATACCTACCAAACCCAGATTGAGATGATTTCCTTTCTGGTTGACGTTTCAGCGCAAAAATTTCAAAGTTGTGAAATCCTCAGATCCGCGTTTTGAAGGTGCGGGATCCAACAGATTGATAATTGCAGCAGGATCTCGCGGGAATGGGGGATCCCGTTTTGAGGTATGGCAATTCTTATACAAAGAACATAGAGCAGGAGAAGTGGTTTGGATCTTTCGTTTCGCCAAAAATTTAAAAGTGAATGGTAATAGAATTGAGGCAGTCTTGAGGTGAAACTGATCTGCGGAATCAAAGTGGCAGGTGTAAAATGACGAAGATGCTGAGAATACACGGATTTTGCGCCTCGTTGGCAGCACTGATGACATCATTCTTGCAAATTTCATTACGAAAATAGCTGTTTGAATAATTCACACTGGATATTTTATTGCTTTGAGAATTACCGCAAAACATGTGTTCCTTTTATGTTTTCGTTCCATTCAAATGAAAAACATAGAATGAGAAACGGTTTGTATTCACCAGACTTACTTGCATAATAACGTTCCGTCTTTCAAAACTTCGTAAAAATTATCCATATCTCCGTTAGTTGAAATATTTTCGCTGGTGATGGTGACGATCCATTCTAAACATTCTCGCGCTAAATCTTCGCTGTATTTGGCGTTAACCTGGAACAACAAGGGATGATTAATTCATGTAAATCACATTAATTTCGGATACTAAATCAGTTGGTCGCTTGTTGCATAAAATTGATAACAAAAGAAAAGAACTATGTGAAAAGTGGAAAATGACATACATTTAATGACATACCGAGTAGTTCTCAATTTATTTTTAATTACAGGAAGAATATATTTCGGTATATCTTATAGTCAATATATTATTACAATTGTATGATCATCAACGAAGAAAAAATTATTTTCAAACTATTCCGAATTCCAATTCGGAAGGTGCCCCATTCTTTTTATTTTTATCATTAAGTACTAGTTTTTATCAGAAACTTTTTTTGACTTGTTAGGATGTGTAAAACTTTACATAAACCTTTGGCTTCCATCAATTAAATGCTGGAATATCAGATACAATTGGTAATTTATCATTTTCATAGTAAAATGAGAGAGTTTGATGAGCAAAATGCATTTTAAATCAATAAGGTGGACGACGCAAAATAGTGATTAATAATTTTTATACTTAGTAATGTCTGTGATATGAGTTTCAAATGAAAGTTTGATCAGTGGGCTGCAAAATTGATCTCTGAATATTTTAAATAAATTATAGCATTAGAAACTTCTAAAGATCCAAAGAGACTGACATCAGAGTTTCAAAATTCATATACATTATGAAAAGGCATGCTGTATGTGCTGCATTTATCAAATTTAATCAAGAATTTAACCAATAATGAAACGATAATTAGGAACCTCGATACAGCACACTTGCAAAAAGAGAGCATATATTGTACTGATAAGCTACGTTTGTTGTTATAATTGGCTATAGTTTTTGGAAAAGAATGTTATTGTGTTTTTTTTTTCAGTATACAGAAAATTCGCATAAGTTAACAGTGCTTTTCGTGCCACGTTAGACATTTAAGAATTTAATTATAAGGACAAGTCAATATAAAAGTAAATCAGAGATGTACTTGAGATAATCTGGAGAAGCCTCTTCAACAAGTCCAAAATGAAAATATATTATTTGTCAGATGTTAAATTCAACATATGGGAAAATGAATCATTGTTTTGCTAACTTGTGCCATTGTAAATATTATGTTCCAATCCCACAGCCCACTCAGTCATATCGGTATGAAAATATGACACATTTCACCTTAAAAAAACCTACACTAAACATATTCAAAAACTGAAAATAACACTGAGAATGACGAAAACTCTTGACTTTTTGCTAAAAGCAAAGTGGAGATTATCTATTTTCAAACTATGTATATTCATTTCAAAGCCTTGTTGCTTAGATAAGAAAATGTTACAGACTTTTTATTAGGTATCAATAATTTTTATTTGTGAAATTAGAAAAACATACTTTTTTTTAATCGTAGAACATACTGTATTTCTTATTTATTCCAAGTCAGTCGAAGATGAAAAACACGATATATGAAAACAAATAACTATTCTTTCTGTTTATTGAAATACTGAGTATTTTATAATTTAATTTAAGTTATTTCATGAACACTTACCATGTTTTAATAAGGTCGAATAAAGAAGTTGACAATTTATAATTTTTTCTGTTGACTGAAAGTAGGTAGTGAGAGGTACCTAAACAGATCTACACACTTAAATATATAACTGAGTACCATAAACCATAGCATTATCTTATCAAAAACCTAATACCTTAAATATAAAGGTAATTAAAAAATCAAGGTGAGATGCATTAGCGAAATGAAGAAGCAATAACTGGTTTTCTCAATAATTGTTTTTCTAAGTATTAGTAAGGATTAGCCATTTCAAAGTAAATCCAGGGCCTCGATTTTTGTAGTCATTGTAATAACAAATTTAGCTAGGTATACCTGTCCGTATTTGAAAAAAAAAGTTGATGCTGAAATTTAATGAACAAAACGTCGCAATGCAAATTGGTTTATATCAGATTATAACAGATATGAAAAAAATATTGAAAGTTCCTCCGTATCATTTGAAATGGAGGAGGTAGAGCCAAAAAACGAAATTCTATAATCCTAGTTTTTTGTGAATATTCCAAAAACGACCACTGATATTCTCAATCTAAGAAGAGATTATTTCATTTCCCCAAAATTGGAAACTTTTGTCCAATTTAACCGATTTTGTAGGTCTTACCGTTTCCGAAATAGCAATAGTGGGAACAGCAAAAAAATAGCCTGTATAATATGTTCATTGAGATGTTTGAACCTGTTAAACTATCTTTTGTTTTCGTATAAATATCTAAATTTTGTCAAAATTATAAAAAATCAATTTTGTTTTATTTTAATGAAATATATCTATTATATATGGACTTGAAGTTGGAAAACAAACAACTTTTTGAATGCTGATCTATTCAAACAAGCAACGAATATATTTTTTTAAAGGTAAACAAGAAAAAAAGAAAAAAATGCTGTCATTAGCTAGGGCAGAAAGAGTACATGCATACTTGACATTATTAATATTGTATCTAAAAAGTATGTCTCATAAACGAGAAAAAAAAGAATTTGTCCCGATTATAAATATTCGAACTGGGGTACAAAGTTTTTGAGTAACGATAATTTTGCGTCTCCATATATACCATTGTATTCACGATAACTATTTATTATTTATAAATTATTTAAAAGCGCTACAAACAAAATGAGAGCTCTATATCCACTTAAAACCACTTATGCATTGTAGTTTCAATACTAACCGCCCTTTATGGTGGTGCCATTTTCATCAGTAGAGTCAGAAAAAAGTACTGTAGAGGAGAATAAGTAGAAAAAAATAATTGATTCGAAAAAAATATAAATATTCAGTTTTGTTGACTTATGAACTTTAAGACTTGCGACTGCAAGTTTTAAAGTTCTCGCACAATTTTCGGGCTAATACATCTATTTGCAATTACAGCTTTTGTTTTCTGTACAGTAGCGAGATAACTGATTGATTTAACTCGGAAGGGTATAACATTTTTTTCCAATTGATTATTTATCTATTTTGCGCAGTTATAAGTGAGTATCATGAAAGTATCTCCTCAAAAGACGACGTCTATTGGGTCGACTCGGAGGTATGTTGCAATGAGAAATCGCCTTCTGTCTTTCTCTGCAGTTTCAACTGCAAGCAGAGAACCAAATGACATCAAAGCCCGAAAACAAAGCATTCGTGATCTGACACCGCCATACGTCTCATAAATGGTGCTAAGCTGTACCACGAATGCATTGTTTGATTCGACTGTTTTTAAAGAACAAACCCATTAAGTTAGAAACAGTTGAAAATGGTATTGATTCTTCTTTCACCTTGAAACGTAGAACAAATTCAGTACTATTGGTACAAGATTCGTATTGTGCACTTTCCGTTCTGTAATGATCAAATTACTTCCAATAAGTTTTCCTTTATGAAACTTTTGTTATTCACGATACTCCAGACGGGTATTCCGACTTGATACATAGAGAATAACCATGCAGTTTCGCTTGAAGTGATAGGAACAATGGCCACATTCGCAAAAACGCTCACAAATTCCTTTGAGACAAAGAAATAAATTATAACATTCTTTCATTGAAGAGGAATTCGAAACATGTTAACAACGACTTGAGTAAGTAATTCTATTGAGTACTTCGAGGCAACGGATATTTTTAATTGTATTTATGTTTACCAGGATGGTAATTATCGTCGTTATTATTAATTGCAGGTGCATTACGCTGCATTTTTTTTTCAAAAACAGACAAATTAAAACACTGACATTGTACTAAAAAGTAAATACTTTAAAACCTCTCATCTTACAACAGCCTCTAAATTAGGAAAGAAACGAAAGATTTTCAACCAAATGCCAACTGGAAGGTAGGAAATTCGCTTGTATCAATTACCTATTGCAAAGATGAAGAACGACAAAGAAATCCCAATACACCTTGAACTTTATTTCAATACTAACTCTGAATTTTACTGCCATATATTCTCGTGGGAATATGGTTATAGTAAAACTCAAATTCTCTTAGATGAAACTGTAACATTCAAAAGAGGCGACATGTCATCTTAGAAGGCGTTTCACTAAACAAAAATTGTACATTGGGTACTACAGCTCTTCAAGAGCTCTGGATAGATGGAGTACCTAAACATGAAAGACTTGCTATAGCAACTGCAACAAAGAGTAGCATAACTGATCTCATTCCTGTTCCTGAATTCATCACAAGAGATTTGATTGATTGATTGATTGATAGCACTTTATTTCCAACAGGCATTCACCCAATTACAGGAAATGTACAAAGGTGTTGATGAAGATATATGCAAAACAGTAAAAAAAAGAGATTACTAGAACTAAAAGAAAAATAAGTAGAAATAGAAATATATTACAAGAAGCGAAAAGAAAGGTTCTAGTGAGAATATATTTTGAAATAAAACTTTGAGAAATGTGATTGATATCGCACATATCACATATTGAATTATAGTTGTTACAAAGTAGTGACACTGATACTTTCAAACTGTTATTTGTTCTGACAAGATCACAGTAAAAGAGGGCCACACGAGATCTTATTGTTTAGAAGTTTGTGAAGAAAGAAGATTGTGACAAAAAGTCGTCATGTATTCAGAGATATTACATTAAATTGATTCAGAAGGATAGAATAGTCGGTTCCCCTCTGAGGATATATTCCTGTGATATTGAAAGACAGATATTTTGAAAATTTTTTTAACAGCATCAATATGATGTATGTGGCAATTGTAAATTGGATTTGGCAACTACCATCGTGGAAATGCTTTATGAAGCCGGTAAGAGGCAGAAAATCATAGCCTCATAGCCTCGGCCTACTTCAGGCAACACGCCAGCATACTATCCTCCAGAGAAATTCAGGAATCTAGCAGTCATTTTTTTCTGTCCAATCTCACATGGGACAGCACAAACATCAATGCAAGAGGTAGGTTTGTTCTGGTTCTAACATCCGAAACTGTTTGGAAACTGCGCAAGACATGATGAGTACAAAATCTCAAAACAAACCGAAATAGTCTCGGACACTTGGTTGAACTAGAACGCATTTTGAGGAGAC